TCACACTACACAGCTGTATCCTTGAAACATAGCTGAGTGTAATTCACTGCACATTGTGGCTGTCTGGGAGGGATGGGCTGTTACTGCACGTTGTGTTCAATCTCTGCACAGTTTATATATGGAAAAGTAAGAGTTCATTTAAAGGATAATTCTTATGGAGTAATGGATTACATTTAACAGAGTATCAGGATAGAAAAAAACATAAAACTGTTACAGTTGTAATAATGAGATCAGATTATAGTTACATTTCGTAAAAATTGAGATATATTTCTAAGAATATAGACCCCTTTCACAGCAGCCAATTAGTGTCCAATGAAACTAATTAAGGTTCTGTTCCTTTCAGGTCAAACACAGTCAGGGTACTGCTATTGGGCATGTTGGCTCACTGGAAAGGCACAGCTACACTAAATGGATTAGCAAGATTACAATTTCAAAACACATTTTAAAGGTCCAAAACAGACAAACCCTGGCTTAGGGTTATTCTCATTTTTCACACATTTTACGGTCACTGTAGTTTCTCTTTCACTCTTGGAAAAGGAGGGTGAAACAAGTAAGTTGCAATCTGCAATTACGCTGCTAGATGCCACTAAATCCTACACACTGGACCTTTAAAATAAAAAACGATATACTGCCTTGCACATGCAGTACTGATGAGCAGTTGGTAGCGTGCCTTCCATGAGTGTGTGAATGTGTGTGAATGTGTGTAAAGCGACCATTTATGGTAAATGGTATATGGACCTGTACTTGTGTAGCGCCTTTCTAGTCTTCCGATCACTCTGACCACAGCATGCACAGCATGCACAGCATCAGGAGCAATTTAAGGTTCAGTATCTTGCTCAAGAATGCTTTGACACGGGGCGGGAGGAGCCGGGATTGAACCAAAACTCCAAAGTATTAAGAACCTCAGAAGCTCAAAAACTAGAAACTAAATAAAAATAGTATTAATAAAAAAGAACAGGAGTGAAAATGATCCATGTGTCAGAGCTGACTTAAAAATCTCAGTATTTTTATTTTTAAAATGACCGTTTTTTATTTTTTATCATCTCTAACTTTTCATTATTTGTCTTCTCCTGCTTTCCATATGTTTAAGGGGTTAACTTGTTATGAAACAGTCTTAATGTACTACTGGTGCCTCTGTATGACCTACATAAACACACAAGACCATCGGAAAGAAGACTGGATATTTCTAACACCCAGTGGGATTTCCCCTTGAATTCAATGAAACGAGGCAATAGAAACAACAACACTTTTGTCCAGAGGGGCCACCAGAATCGACACAAAATTAATTTTATTTTGTGGGTTTTTTTATGTATTTTTTGTGTATAAATAATATATAATATATTTTTTAACTATCCTAGGGAATGTTTAGTACAACTGACCACAAACACCAGAATTCACTTTTTTCAAAATAACAACATACAGAACAAAGACATCCAAGGCAGAAGAGATAACAACAATAACAATAAAACTAATAATACAAGGGAAAAAAAGATGAAAATAATACAATAAATAAATAATTATAAATGTTATCATGTTGCCATCAGTCACATATCATTGTAACAATAATGTACATAGTATAATGATCACTGCTACATTAAAGTTATAGTGATAACCAAGGCTAGTACTCCCTAGTTAGCCATCAAGTATTGCGTTCATGCAGGAGCCCCATATTTACAAAAATTATCGGGTATGTTTTAAATATAAAGTTAATTGTTTATAATTGGCTATTTTGATTATTTCTCCCAGCTATTCAACTGTTATTATACCTACAAAAATTATGGCATGTCTGAGTTACCTAATTCATTCTGAAACAGCAATACATGACAGGCCTAAAACACATAATGACTATGGCTTAAGCCTATAAATAAGGGGAGTGAAACCAGGGAAAAATTGTTTAATGACCTAGAGTTGTACTTTTCCAACCTTTGAGAAGTTACTCATAGTGAGTTTTTTTTCCAGGCTTAGTGAGTACAGTGTTATTACTACTGATAGCAATGATGACCAAAACTATGAAAAAAATAGTCAGTTTAAACCAGAATGATACTTTAAATGTGCAACAGTTTTAGTGTGGTTTGTCTCAACTGTCATTTAGCATGCCTCTTCTTTAGCACAGCTGTCCAGGGATCCATTCCTTTTTCTCATTAGTATTTATTATTAAACTTTCTACTTTTTCCTGAAAAGGCCCTCTTTTTTATCATTGACTGAACTGATGACCCCTGACTAAATTACATATTTTATGGATATTTCATTTATTCAATGCACAACAATAACAGCAGAGCACAACTGATAAAATTGAACATAAGAACTGCAGGAAGTTTGTGTAAAATTAGGGATTTGAATGAATTTTGAGTACATTATTTCCTGTGAATATTACATTAGAGATTTATTTTTAAAAATATTTTTAGGAACCGTTTTTATACAATTCTCTGTAATATTATTGGGGCGGCTGTGGCTCAGAGTTAGAGTGCGTCGTCCCCTAATCGGAAGGTTGTTGGTACAATCCCTGGCTCCTCCCTGCTGCATGTCAAAGGATCCTTAAGCAAGATACTGAACCCCAAGTTGCTCACAATGCTGTGCATGAATGAGTTAGTTTCTGTTTGATGGGCTTTGCGATCACTGTGTGAAAGGGTGAATGTGGCATGTAGTGTAAAAGCACTTTGAGTGGTTGGAAGACTAGAAAGGTGCTATACAAGTACAGGTCCATTTTTTTTTTTTTTAAGAATCATACAATATCAATTAATCAATAGTTAATAGGCATATTCAGTATTTCCTTCTCCCTGACGCTTGTTCTATTAGTTCTTCCATTGTTATAACTATGTACTTTTTCAATGATAAGATATATATATATGCATATTTCTTAAGTTTTCCTACTTCCCTTAAAATCAAGACAGCCTTACGACCCCCTGTGAAGCTTTGGCGACCCCTAGTAGGGGTCCCAATCCCCTGATTGGTAGTGTACATATTTTTAATGTCTTTTTTTCTATTTTCTATACATTGTTATATACTGTAGTATAATGTAGGGATGGGAAGATATACAGCATCAAATATCATGGTAGAAAACACAGACAAATATATTGTGGTGAACTTCTATTATCGGGATAATTGTGAATATCCACAAGAGTGAGCTCACTAAGGTCTAAGCCCTATATTGATATCCTGATTTATTTTGAACAGGGGGACAATGGGCAACCAATCAATTTCCCCCCAGGGGATCAATAAGTCTAAGTATTTCTGTTTCTGATTAGGACTGTGTTCAAGATCCCAGTCTGTTACTGTTGTTCACATTAAAAGTCAACTGTGATCAATCATTCAGTACAGTGATTTAATATTCTTGCACATTATTACTATTAAAGTGTTTATTAGGTGATTAGGTTCCCTGGTCCATTGGCTGAAAAACACCCCCAAAACATTAGGTTCCCACCACCATGTTTGACAGTGGGGATGGTGTTCTTAGGGTTGAAGGCTTCTCCTTTTTTACGCCAAATGAAGGATACATCATTGTGGCCAAACAATTCAATTTGTTTCATCTGACCATAAAACAGAAGACCAGAAGTCTTATTCTTTGTCCAGATGAGCAATTGCAAAGGCCAAGTGGGCTTTTGTGTGCCTTATCTGGAGAAGTGGTGTCCTCCTTGGTCTGTGTCCGTAGAACCCAGCAGTGTGCAGTGTCCGTTGGACTGTCTGCCGTGAGACGTTGCCCCCAGCAGAGCCCAGATTCACCACGTCCTCTGAGATTTCCCACAGTGCGGACTGTCTTGAATTTTTTAATAATACTTTGCAATGTAGCCACTGGAACTTGAAAACATTTAGATATGGCCTCACAGCCCTTGGACTATTTGGAATGGTAAAGAACTTTGGATTTTCCCATCGACTGTGACAGTTTGCAAAGGGTATGAATAATTTTGTCAAATGTAAATAAAAGCTGAGAAATATATATATTTTTTAAATAATTATCTTTTGGGAGAAGCCTGTGTCATTTCTGGTCAAAAAGCAAAAACTTGCTGGTTGAATAAAAGTAACTTTAAGTCAAAATTTGCCAGGGGTATGAATAATTTCAGGCTTGACTGTACATATGAGGATGATTGATCATGCTGGACTATGGTTTCATGCTGGGCAGGAAGACCAAAAAAAAAAACACTACTCTGGACCCTGGTTGAGTCCGTAACAACAGAGAAGATAATGGGAAACTAAAGTGAAGTCAAGATCAGGATCAGACTATTCCAGCCCTGGTTCCCACAAACACCAGCATCTCTGAGAAAGTGGTGGTATCTTACAATGTGTGCTACTTGGGAAGGTGGAAAACCTGCCTGAATACTTTGTAAAAACAAAACAGGAAGAGGAAACTGGGCCAGAACAAAAAGAGCTAAAGTTTCTTGGAATGACAGATACAGAATGTAAAGACTTCACCAAAGCTAACAGATAATAACTGTGGCATACATTCTCTACTTACACCATAAACAGGAAGACGCCTTGCTCTCACAAACCTGTTGTTTTGTTTCGCTGTGTAACAATCATACACACTTACTAGGCTTCTTTTTTTCTTGTCCCTGACGCTTGGCCATAGTTGTATTAGGTAATTTACTCAACTTTTCTTCACTGAAGTGAACAAAATGCTGAGATATAGGCATACTGTGTAAATATTTGTAAGTTTTCTTAGACCCCTTAAAATCATGAAAGCCTTGCATGAAGCCTTTATTACCCCTAGTGAGAGGGTCCCGATCCCCATCTTGGGAACCACTGCACTAGATACAAGGTTCCATGAATCTTGAACGGAACCGGTTCAAGAATCAGAGCAAATTTGGCAGACAAACTCTATATGAGCGTTGGATCTCTTCCCAGCTGGTCCATCTGTCTTAAGTTCGTTTTTATCAAATTAACACTGATTTTCATCATTCTTTTTTCAAATCTGCTTTTAGACACCCAAATGACTGCAGTACTCAAACCCTTTCATGTTTTTTCGAGTTGATCTCTGGTGGTGTAACAAATGAAGCAGCAGCCCATTTTCATGTAACTGAAATATTTATTCTAGTAAACATTACAGACCATATAGAGAGGATCACTGTTCAAAATAAACCAGCATCTGTTCTCTCCTCAGCTTTTAGTGTAACTGTGAGCAATCCTCCGAATGGTTCTTTTTTAAGTTTACTTTTTCTTCTTCGTCTTCACTTTTTATGGGACAAATATAACAGACATGATACTATACAGACTGTATACACATTGTATGCATCTTAATACAGACAATCAGATTATTTTGCCTACATGGGAGGAAAGGGCAGTTGAAGGCAGAAAAAAAAGCTTCAGAGAAGAAAAAGGTTAAGTGAACAAAGAATGAAACAAGTCCCCCAACATCATTTTTGCTAACTATCAAGCATCAGTAAAGACAAAGGCTTCATGCCACCATTTTGAGAAATAAAATGCATATTAAAACTAAAGTTTTAAATTGTAAATCTTGATAGTTTTCAGCTGTCATTGAATAAAGATTTCTTTATATGATGCTAACATTTCTTGTTAAGTAATGAGCATCGTCTTGACCACTTTCTTTCCCTGAAATAGATAAAAAGAATTTTGGAATGAAAGGTTTGTAGATTCTGCAGGTAATGGAATGAAACCAAAGCAAAGTTGGGACAGAGGAGGGGGTGGTTGCAGGTGCTTAAATAATCATATTAAAAACATATGCTACATATCAAAAACATCACACTGGTTTCACAGGATACACAAAACAATAAAAATAAACATTATCTATTGCACAATGGAGATATCAGATGACAAATACAGTATGAATGATAAGCTTATGGCTCTAAGGAGTACACTGCAGACAAGCAGAAACACATGAGGAACAGATGGAGGGTCACAGTTGGCAGTGGGCTGGGGATCAAGTGTCAGCACATTTTGGTACCGGCTGAAATGTGGCTGCAGCAGCAAGTGTCGAAGAGTACCATCACATATCTGTCACATTCATTAAGCTGCATCTGATTCCTTGATCCAATAGTTCCTGGTTTCATTTGACTAATTTTACATTTTGTACATACATTTAATATTTTGGGCATATTCTTCTTCTGAAAAGGATTTCAGAAAATATATTGTTGTTGTAACATTACCAAAACTCAGGTATTGTACTGCCACTAGGGCTCACTTCTCAGTGAGCGTGTTGGCAAAAAACAGTTTTTCTATTCAACAATATTCATTCGTGACCTTGGAAACAGTAGTTTGACCAAAAACCTTTTCCTGAGCTTTTGACGGTGAGACGTGGTTGAAAGCTAATAAAGTAGTAAGAAAGTAATAAAGCCCACCTTCAGTTCATTGTTTCTTGTTAAGGTTTTCATATATTCAAGTACTAAGTTCTGCTTCTGGGAGGTCAACATTTTGGGAGAGTACTGCTATGATTAATGAAACTTATGGGAAACTACGATTGGTCAAATCTGAGGATTGGACAAAATTTTAAGGTCGCAGAATTCGGGGTGGGGGGGTGGGGTGGTTGAATTTGTGTTAAGTGCTGCGTTCACAATTTCCTGGAGGGACTGACTATGTAACCTTGATGGACTTTAGAGATTATGAAATCACTTGAGAATCCATCATGTTCAACCACAGTGGTACTGGACCAATCATCGTCCGATGAGGAAATACTGGTAGGTAATCATGAGTTACATGTTGATCTGATTGTAAGTTCGCCTGTGTTAGAAGGTGATAGACAGATGATTCATCAAGTGCCTGCCCTTTTCCAAAAAGTTTCCAATAATGACTGTCTGGCGCTGTCACATGAGGTATGTCAAATGCTGTCCATAGGACACATTTTCTACAAAGCCCTCTGCTTCCTAGATGTCATTTATACTGTGTGAAGATATCATAAGTAGCCCAAACCTCCCAAAGCAGAAGGTACCATTGCATCCTGTGACACTCAGATCTATTCCACATGATAGATTTCTGTTCCCATGTTTCACGAAGGGGTTGCTTTCAAAATGCAGCTGAGCCATCCAGCTGTGATTAAAACAGACCCACTGAGACCAGATTTAAGGGGACATATTTTGGTGCCCAAGGTGCCTGTCACATTGTTGTGAACAAGTTGGTAGCTCTTTAGTTCACTGGAAATTACTTTGTTACCAATGCCATTCATAATAAACTAATGGTTAATAGCTGCTACCTTGTGAGCTGCCAGTTAGCAGCATGTTATGTTATATAATGTTAACATTAGCGTCTGTTTAAGATACAACTTATATAAATATTATATATCTGCAAAGGAGGGGCCAAATTGTTTTGAAAGTCACAAGTAAGTCTCAATTCTTTGCACTCAAGTCCCAAGACCAAAACTTTGAGTTTCAAGTCCTAATCATAATGTCATAACGAGTCTCCACCAAATGTAATACCATTTTAACATAATGAACTGAACAAAATTACCCTTGGTATTGTTTTCCAAATGGCGCTCAGTAACATAACATTAGTTCTTCATGGTTCTCTTCTGCTTCTTGGTTCAAACAAAGTAGATATGGGAAATTAAGTGTCGACTTGCTAGGAATGAATATTAACGTTTCTTGTTTTATGAAGTATAGGGAAATGAATAGATTCAACCTTTCTTTTTAAGATTTACATGTCAGCATTCCTTATCAAAACTGTTGGGTGGCGGATAATAACAAGCTAGCTTGTTAGCTGACAGCTGAAAACACCCTTTGGTTTCAATGAAGGATGAAAGCCGACGATATGAAGTTCCTCATGAGTTTACATTTTCACTACAGCGTAACAGGTGAATGGCAGAGTTTCAAAATGCAAATATGCTTTAAATGGCTCAGAAGTAGATGGAAACTGGAGGCTGTCAGCCGTGTACAGCTTAGAGAAGCTCACACCCGGAACACTGCTCGCCTACAGCTACACAGTTGTAACAGCTACAGCAAAGTAAATCTTCATGATATGTAAACAAGACACAAAATGGCAGGGAGAGGCAGTTCACATTTCTATCTGGCAGAATTAGTTACTGCACATCAACTTTAACTCCAGGATTTCTGTTCTATTTGGATGAATTCACATTTCATGGATTCTTAGCATTTTTACCCCCAGAAAGGCAGTTCCACACAGGTATAGTATCTAGAGGGACGGGGGAATTGTTGTTCGCCATGCTATTGACCTCCTTATAACCATCATCTTGTTCAATGTGGCAACTGCAGAACCAAATATAACACTAAATAACACAAGATTATCTTGTCGTACAAGTCAGGGCAAAGCCTTATCCAGAGCCTGCTGTGATCCAACACCAAGACAGGGTTTACATGCTGTCTTAGTAGTTACAAATTATTTTTCATCACAATGTGCTTGTGCAGTTATTGGTTTAAAAAGTAATTTGTTTGTTCTGGAGTTCAACTCAAGATACCGCTTGTTAGCATCTTACCGAGACCTAGCCCTAATCCACGACCATCATGTTTTGTATTACAGTCCTGGATGGATGTCTAATGGAACCTAGACATCTCTGTAAAATAGGCATTCATAAAATGTGTTATGGGAAGAATGTTGGAAATGTACATTTGAATATATACAAACTCGCCCCTGCTCGTGGGCAATCGATTTAGCAACAACTAATGCACAAAATCCACCGGGTGTGGCTGTGACAACTGGAGCTGATTGCGTTGTTTTAGACAATGCCATATGCTATATGCATATGCTACATAGAGAATATGCAGCTGGTTAATTTTTAATAGAAGTTGCGACGCACCTGCGGCAAGCCTCTGAAATGCTCTCGGTGGGTTCTGAAGACGCACAGATCACAGAGCCATAAAGCTGGATTTGATACACGCTAACAAACCAGAACTTTACTCAGCGGCAGTGGCTGGAAGCTATATTAAAGAAAGACTACTCACTATAGCAGCAGTGTCACTGATCTATATTCAGCTACCAGTGCCAGCACTGAGCACACTGCTGTTTAGCGTGGTGGTGAACAAAGAGGCTGTCAAGGGGGAGTTTGTATTTTTAGTTACAAGTTACATCAGAAGACATCCAGCACTGCATTACAAGGTATGACGTCCCTGAGACCCAAGTTCTGCTCGTGGTTATAACTGCTCTCAATTATGAACACTAACAATTACCAAGCTTTGCTTTAACTAAGCCAAGTGTAAGACTTCTTCCTCCCCATGATTACCAAATTTGACCAAAAATTTGAAACTCAATATGTTACCCTTTAAAGTAACGTTTAGGAGAACACGTGCTTGGAGCAGAATCCAACTGCAGGGCATGCATGTGTCAAAACACTGACTGAAGCATATGACTGGTCATCGACACACAGAATACAGACTTGCACATATAAAACACAACATGATAGAGGGGCTCTGAGTGAAACAGAAAGTCTTTAGAAAATAAGTCCAGAGCTGACTTCAGGCCGACTCAAACATCAGTCACCGCTTCAAGTAAATAACTCATATAAAAACAAGGTGAGTGGTTAAGTCCATGGTGGAACATCAAACTATGACCGACTACAGTTATTTGGATGTTCTTTTAAAACAAAAACATGTCAAAATAATAAAATAACCAGCTTGTGAAATAAAAACTGTGTTAAAATCCTCGCTCCCTAAAAAAAAAAAAAAATTCCCTCATCTTGCCTTTCATTTGTCAGATGTGGTATGACATCACAGCATCGGGATCGGAGCACAGCTGTCGAGAAGACGCATAGTTAGCTCTGTTCATCTATATACAGCGGACAGAGGGGGAGAGAGTACTGCAGTCCACAGTGCACTCTCACACTCATGGACAAAGAAAATATATCTGTACATTTTGTTACCGTCACTCCACAGGATACGTTGACATCTGAAACATTTTTTTCATTTTTCAGGAACTTGTCACATTAGAGGGAACCAGTGTCATGGATCAGTTTTCACGCAGTTGAAGAGCTTTTTCCTTTCTCACATAATGTGACAAGAGTGAAATGTGAACATATCCAACTGAGCCAGAGGAGGGACGAGGGTCAAACCTGAAGGTAAAAAACAGAGATTAGCGGATTAATCTGCTAATCTCAGGCAAAAACTGGCTGCAGTTGACTCCCCCGTTCTCCCACTCTTCCATTAGTTTGTGGAAATTTGATTAAGCACACACTTATTAAGGAATATGCACCATGTAAACACAATATGAACAAATAACAATTATAAAGATCAATTTACACGTCATGATCAGTACTACTCAGCCTGTAGTCTTGTGATACCAGATGATTGGAGATCTCGCAACTGAGAACGGCCGCTAACAAACACACGTCCCCCCTTACTTCAAGGACATAACTCTGCTGATTCCTCCCATTCTCCTCCGTACTAAAACAAACAGATAAAGCGAATCAGTTTGTAACACGGAGAGTGAATATCAATGCCCTAAAGGCTTTGGATACGTCTGCAATTTAGGTTTTCTAATTGTTTCCACAAGGGCTGTCCCCTAATAGTCGACTAAAATGTTAGTCGCTGAGAAAGGTCTTAGTCAACTTAGTCAACCTCATGAACAGGTAATAAGGCAAGTAGTACCTTTCAGTTTATATTGTGCTTCAGCATATTCCTTAAGAATTTTGCACTGAAACAAATGACCACAAACTAAGGGCTACACAGTGAACCCTGAGCTTTTGGGCCCCCTTGGTGTTTCTGCGTTGCCTGCTTTGCCTGGCTGATAATTCAGCCAAGTCTGCACTTCAGGTGAAAGTCTCATGGTAGACCCTGCTGTGCTGTAAAATTAAAATGAAAACTGATATTTGAGGAAATATGCCTCAACTTACCCTGAATCAGATGAGAAAGATCAATATCAGTTTCATTTCTGTACCTCCAGTACAGACTTTCGTCTATTTTAGCACAAAGGGAGGGAGTTAGAGAACAGCAGAAGTGAAAACAACTCAACTAATAACGACCTTCTCACTTCTTATCTCAGTCTGGGTTAGTGACAGTATTTCCTTAAAAAAACAAAAGATAATTCTCAATCCTGAGGAGTGCCAAATCCAGCCTTCTCTATGAACAAATACTTCTCTAACACCTCATTTTGTAGCATAACAACTCAATGCTAAAAACTAACTGACACAATATACCATCCATAGCTCAATGATATATCTGTGCCCTTATATATCAGGAAAAAAATCCCTTTTAAGAAATACCTCGACAGATTTAATTGCAGCATTATTTTTCTTCACTACTGCTAGTTAGAACTGAAGAGAAAAAAGTATGTTTGCCATTTTGCTACTGATAGCAACAGCTTTGTTAGCAAGTGATTCCCCGACTGTGAGTGAAGCTGGGAAAGAAAAACAACACGCTGAAACTGTGGAGGTGCTCTGCCAGCAATGGTAAGCCTCAGTACAGTAAATGGATCCATCACATTACTGTCTAGCCACTATAGTGCATATACAGTGCATCCGTTCGTTTCCATCAATCCTCCTCCTCTTCATATCAGCAGGAGAGGTTTGCAGTGGTGAGTTCTTGGCCCTCGGTTATGTTGTTTTACAATGCAGTGTCAGTGGCCAGATCAGGTGTAGGGGAATGTAAATAGTGGAGGTGCAGGTCCTGTGTGTGTGTGTGTGTGTGTGTGTGTGTGTGTGTGTGTGTGTGTGTGTGTGTGTGTGTGTACCAGAGTTTGTATGAACACTCAGAAGTTTGTGCAGTGATGTGCTTTGTGTTTGAATATTTAGATGTTTGTTTGCATGTTTGCCTGTCTACCCGCTGTGTGTGTGTGTCTCTGTCTGTCTGTCTGTCTGTCTGTCTGTGTGTGTGTGTGTCTATGTATCTGTATTTGTTGGGGGTTCCAGGTCACGCGTTGGACATCTCGGCCTTGCTGAGGGCGATGGCCAGCTCCAGGTCCTCCTGCTCCTGCTGTCTGAGCCTCTTCAGCCGCTCACGCTCTGCCCGCTCGCTCTCTCGCTTAGCCCACTCCAACTGCTGAGCCTCATTCCCAAACTACAGAGAGCGAGAGAGGGATAGAGAGGGAGTAAAACTCCCTTTCAGTTATGGAATCTGTAACATTGTTGGCTTTATCTATTGAAAGTGATGTCTTTTTAGACTGTTAAAGATATGTTCAGGAAATCACAAACACCACTTTTATGATTTTTGAAGGCAAATGCCAGAACTGAAAAGCTAACATTAGGCTATAAATGCTAAACGCTAAACTACAACTTGTAATTCAATTCTTTAAGTTGTAAAGTTTGAGTGAGAACAGTTTGCACGAGTATGATGATGTCCTGATACCATTTTTTCCTTCCCGATTGCAATACCTGAACTTTGCATACTGGCCGATACAGAGTATTGATCACATTCTTGTGCAGACGTGTACTCACCGATCTTCTAAGCTTGTGTTTACCACAACCACAACCAAAAACCCATTCAAACAACCCACTGACTGTGAGGAGAGGGAACCGTAGATGCTAAAATGCAATCAGTTGTGGGTTCTAGGACTTATTGCAGCAGCACTCTATACACTCAGTGGCAACTTTATTAGGTACACCTGTAAAATCTAACGCAATTCAAGACAACAACTCAGCCATAAATTCTACCTTTCGAAAGATAAGAATGTTCATCTTTGATTGACACTGTCCCACTCAGTACATATCTTGGTCACAGTGTTTAAAAATACATAAATGTAAAAAACCAAAATCATTATTTTAAGTGACTGTGTACATAACATGTTTATCATGTATCATTATTGGATTTTTTTTAAACTGTCAAAAAATAGTTATATTTAAAAAAATAATTGAATTCAGACCTCAGTGCTTCTGTGACTTTTACACTAAGTTGACTTGTAGGGTGCTGTATTGGCAAGAATCTGGCGATACGATACATATCACGATACAGGAGTTACGATTCAATATATACTGATAAGTTCAGTGGCTACTTTCAGGCCCATACCAACAAACTGTGATGCACTGTGTGTTCTGACACCGTTCTAACAGAACCAGCATTAACTTTGTTGATAATCTCTATAATGATGCACACAGTAAACTTAATTTTCTTTTTCAGCAACACATGATGTAAGATCTGACGAAACAAATGCTTTAATGTACATCTGAACTGCACTGCCTTTATGGACATTAACTAACATCATTTTGACAACACTGCCAGATTGGCATTTTATATGAATTTTGTTGTGAGCTCAATCTCTTACCTTGACTTTATCAGGTCCTGTCAGAGAGGTGGATTACAGAACAGAGAAGTTATAAACCAGAATTCTCTGAACTCAGTGGATCTAGGCTAATGTACAGGACACCACAGCACACACACACTGTGAAGGGATACCTGCAGAGTTTTATTTCAGTACAGTACTGTCTTTAGCTACTACTACTACTACAACAGTTGAAATAAATAATTTATTCTTACAATGCTAACAAGCTACTGAAGTTGAAGTAGACACATGTTGCCATAAGTGCCACAGACAGGTGAGACAAATGGACTGCTGAAACAGAACTGTCAGTGAATCCCTTCAAGTAGAAACACACAGCACGGAGAACTAAAGGAAGGAGCAGCTAACTTCAACAGCAGCAGCTGTGACATGCAGACAGTGAGAGAAAGAAAAATGGCCACATCCATTGTGTGTGAGTGATGATATCATCTAACTGAGGTATGAACCAAGAGTGTTAAGCGCAAATGAGGATGTTTTCAACCAGGAGTTAATTTTCCTACGTTAAACACGTGGAAAATTGTTGGTACCTTTCCGTTAAAGAAAGAAAAACCCACATTAGTCCCTGAAATAACTTGAAATTGACAAAAGTAAAAATGGTTAATTAGGGCCCAAGCACAAATCGTGCAAAGGCCCTATTGTAATGGAGGGAATTATTATTTTTCTGCCTCTTCCAACTGCATATTTGGCGGCTACAACATGCTCGAAAAGTCAGGGAAATTTTCACAAAATTCAAACGTGGTGAAAATCCATGTATGCAATTGTACCCGTGCACAGGTGCCGCCAAATGGCTAAGCCATGCCCCCCCGATTCAGCCCCCAAGACATGTAAGACCGACATGTATGAAAATTTGTATGCATGTGCATCATGACAAGCAAAAAAGCCTCTTGGACTCATAACCCAAACCCAACAGGGAGTCGGACATTTTGAATTTCGTGGTGATTTTTGGCGATTTTTTGCGAATTTTTTGCGTTGTATTTGAACAAACTCCTCCGAGGGAATTTATCGGACCAACATCAAAACTGGTCAGTACAGTTTAAAATATTGCTGATTAAATGTTGTGCTATTTACGACATTCTGTCGAACGGCGTGCTTGTGATGTTGAATTTCGACGATTCGCCATTCGCTTTTTTAAGAAGACAAGTCAAGCTAATTCATTTTCATAAATAATGATTTCACATACAGTAAATCAATACCATTAAAACCAGATGATGAAGCAGTGCCCATAGCTGCTGTGCCAGAGTGCAGAATAAAGACATGTGAAAGCATGCTTGAGAGTGGTGAGGAAAAGCAAAACTACGCTAATATAATAGGGCATGCATAACAAGAACAGACAGCAGATATAAAGCACTAATCTACAACCAGATAGATAGTGAACATAATAGCACACACACAGCAAGGTCACACAGGGCAGACAGACTCAAGAGCTGAGAGTTGAGTAGTGATACTGCTGTGTCTCGTGTTAGATGTATAAAAGTTGAATTGAGCAGCACCAGTCAGCCAATCAGACAGAGGCATTACTCCCTGCCAAGAAAACAGTGATTATCTACCAAAAAAAATTGATTATCTGCCTGACTGAAATGTGATATGCACAGTATTTTGTCATTATCGGAGGGTACTGTGTATTTGCCCTCAGTCTCTGTGAAAGCCCGGGGAAACCCTGACAAACGTATGATGCTCTTCCTTCCAAAACAAACAAACCACGTACAGTAAATGGCCGACACCCTTTCCTGAACTAGAAGAAGGAGACTGCAGACGCAATGCAGCCCTGCTCAGCTCTGCAACCTACAAAGGTTTATTACAAAACAGAAATTTTTGTGGTGGTTTCAAATGTTGTGTCACAGCTAAGAATGGGGGTGATTTTAGGTCTAGTTTCCCTCTCATTACCAATCAGAATATCTCTTTGATATAAAATGTTAAATAAATATAAAATTAGCTCTTTCTGTATACAGTTTCATAAACAATAGGATTACAGTAGTTCGCCTATAATTGGGCTGAACTTCCTTTGACTGATCTTTAGATATGATGTGTCATTGTTCTGACAATAATAGTGAACAGTTTTCAACTGGAAGTCAACAGTGCTGAACACATGTTTAAAGGAACAGTGCAGCATTTTGCTCAACACGCTTATTTGCTTTCTTTCTAAGAATGAAATGGGAAGATAGATTTCAATCTCATGTCTCTGTTAAGCACATAACTGGAGTCAGGATATGGTTGGCCTTGCTTAGCATTAAGACTCAAAGGGGGGGTAAACAGGTAGCCTGGCTCTGTCCAAAGTAAATATATATTTTAGGAACTTTATATACAATTCTTTGTGTGTATTGTGTTTATTTCTGTACAATTTATATCTTAAATAATAATCTAAACCTAATAATAATAATAAAAAAACATTATTTAGTTTTCTTCAGAAGAATGAATGAAATACTGGGTTAATGGCCAACTGTATATATCTTTTTAAAGTTTTCTTAAACCCCATAATATCAAGAAGGCCTGAATCCCCTTCAGGTGATTATACACTAATGAAAACATAACTATGAATATTATATTCCATTTTGGACAATAGATCCTCCTAAAGGTTAAACACTGGAGCTGTAATGCACAGATATGAGATCTAAATCAATCTGAACATCTCACAAAGTGATCTAGCGTATTTCCTAAAATGTTGACCCATTCCTTTAATACTACACAATTGTGTCAGTTTATGTGCAGTCATTACAAGAATTCCCTGCGGTTGGGTATATTGGAATGTGAAACAGCAGAATGTATATAAGCAGAGAAGCTCGTTAACATGGAGCACAGATAATGGTCAAAATGGACTGCAAAAGAGAACTTAAAGCAGAGAGTGAACACGCTGCCTTAGCCGTGTGCTGTCCTGCCTTGCTAATGCTTACACACATAGCGTAGGTCAGTGCACTGCCTTTTGTAAGCTTACTGTTTTCTGTTATACTATTTTCAACTGTACACTAACTGAGGACATTTATTTCTGGTGTTATGAATACAGAATTGTAATAGTTTACTGCACTGAACACAGGGCTGGATCCTAAAATCAATATCACAGTATTAAAATAATGTTTTTCTGATATTGATATACACAGCAAAAGTAATTAAATTAAGTCCAGTGTTCCATTGTTAAAAACACAAAAAAAGAATTTTGTCTTATATAAAGAAGCAAAGCCTAGTAATCAGGATATAACAAACTATTTTTCAGCTTTTACATCATGTGCTGCTGTTAAAGCAGCACTTCAATGATCAGCCAATTGCACTGACTTCATGTCTACCTGGTATTAACATGCGATCAGGTGGAGATGAGGTCAATGTTGTAAAATTGGTAATCAGATTTAAGCCTGGAAACACAAGCCTTGTTTTTGGAAGACTCAGATGCATTCATTACATTTCAGTATAATGCACCGCTACTCCCTTCATAGAGCTCTGCTACGGTATGTTCTATGCCTCATCCAGCTTTAGGAGTGAACTTATGGTGTGCTAAAATCACTTGATGTAGCAACTGTGCTGGTGTCTGTGCAGAGCTGTGTGGCCTGGACTAGACACTGACAGTTAAACAGTATCACCCATCTCAACTTACAGAACTGAAGTCTGCAAAACCCGAGATAGAGTCTTTAGGGGCTTTACTTGATGCTGAGGATGGCGCGAAAGGGTCTTTGCCACTGAATGGGTCTCCCGGGCCCTTTTTAATCTGAAACGGGTCAATGGCTTCGCTGCTGAATGGCTGGAAGGGGTCACAAGGTTTGGAGGGGTCAGCTGTGCCAGACATGCTCACTGGTGTACTCTTACCTGTAAACATAAAAAACAGGGGTAAACGTCACCACAGAGAAGACAGTAGGGCTGTCAATGAATATTTTTTGCTTTTAAATGACAGGACAGCTCAAGGACACAACGTCCATCGTCACTTTCACTGACTGAAAATGAAATGTATGAGAGCTGAAACAAGCGAATAATTCAACTACAACCGTTTGGTAATGATGGCAGAAAGTTCACAACCCAACTCAGCCACAGAGAAAGTAATGTGCCCTCTAAATCAATCAAAAAGACCTGGATCTGGTTAACTACAGCAGCTGGGTTACTAAAAGGAGAGAGCTGAGTGAACAAGCAGAATTAGTGTCATTTTAAATTTATGGCGGGTAATTATCCGATATACTTAAGAATATAAAAAACTGAACTTGAGAGCAGTGGTTCCCAACTTTTTTACTTTGTTACTTTCAATTCAATTCAATTCAATTCATTTTTATTTGTATAGCGCCAATTCATAACAGAAGTTATCTCAGGACACTTTTCAAATAGAGTAGGTCTAGACCGAACTATTTAAAACATTATTTACAGAGACCCAACAGTACCACCATGAGCAAGCACTTGGCGAAAAGGGCAAGGTAAAACTGCCTGTTAAAAGGCAGAAACCTAGGACAGATCCTTCGGCTCTAGGTGGGTGGTCGTCTGCCTCGACCAGTTGGGGTGAAAGAGAGAGAGAGAGAGAGAGAGAGAGAGAGAGAGAGGTGCAGAGCAACAACAATGGCAATCTAGCAGGACCATGGCAGGAGGCTCCACCAGGATCGATAAGAACCTGCGAGACGGGAAAGCACAAGAACTCCGGGGAAAAAGTGAAGTTAGTAACATGCATTGATGGAACATGAATGAGTGCAGAAAGAGAGAGGAAGAGAGGAGCTCAGTGCACCATGGGAAATCCCCCGATAGTCTAGGCCCATAGCAGCATAACTAAGGGATGGTTCAGGACTCACCTGATCCAGCCCTAACTATAAGCTTTATCAAAGGGGAATGTCTTAAGCCTACTCTTGAATGTGGTGAGGGTGTCTGCCTCCCCAACCACAACTGGAAGCTGGTTCCACAGGAGAGGAGCTTGGTAACTGAAGGCTCTGGCTCCTGTTCTACTTTTAGAGACTATAGGAACCACAAGTAGCCCAGCATTCAGAGAACGTAGTGTTCTAGAGGGCTAATAGGGTACTATGAGCTCTTTAAGATATGAAGGGGCCTGACCATGAAGAGCTTTATAGGTGAGGAGGAGGATTTTAAATTCTATTCTACATTTTACAGGGAGCCAGTGCAGAGAAGCTAGTACAGGAGAGATGTGATCTCTTTTTCTAGATCCTGTCAGTACTCGTGCTGCAGCGTTCTGAATTAATTGGAGCGTTTTAATGGACTTATTGGGGCAGCCTGATAATAAAGAGTTGCAGTAATCCAGCCTTGAAGTAACAAATGCATGGATTAGTTTTTCTGCATCTGTCTGTGATAGGATGTGTCTAATTTTTGTAATATTACGTAAATGAAAGAAGGCAGTCCTGGAGGTCTGCTTCATGTGGGAGTTTAAAGACAAATCCTGATCAAAGATAACTCCAAGATTCCTGACAGTGGTGCTAGAGGCCAAGGTAATGCCATCTAGAGTAACTATATCTTTAGACAGTGATTCTCAAAGGTTTTTGGGGCCAAGAACAAGAATTTCGTTTTTTTCTGAGTTTAACATCAGAAAATTGCAGCTCATCCAGGATTTTATGTCCTTAAGACATGTTGGTAATTTAGATAATTGATAAATTTCATCGTTCTTGATCGATAGATATAACTGCGTATCATCTGCATAACAGTGAAAGTTAATGGAGTGATTCCTAATAATGTTGCCTAAAGGGAGCATATATAAAGTAAATAGTATTGGTCCAAGTACAGAACCTTGTGGAACTCCATGACTAACTGTAGTATTTATTGAAGAATCATCGTTAACAAACTGCGAACGATCTGATAAATATGACTTAAACCAGCTTAGTGCGGTTCCTTTAATGCCAATTTGATGCTCAAGTCTCTGTAAAAGAATATCATGGTCAATGGTGTCAAATGCAGCACTAAGATCTAATAATACAAATACAGAGAGTCCATTGTCAGAAGCAATCAAAAGGTCATTATTAACTTTAACCAGAGCTGTCTCTGTGCTGTGATGAACTCTAAATCCTGACTGAAAATCCTCAAATAAACTATTGTTATGTAGAAAGTCACACAACTCTTTGGCGACTACTTTCTACAGAATCTTAGAGAGGAAGGGGAGGTTAGAGATTGGTCTATAGTTGGCTAAAACCCCTGGGTCAAGAGTGGGCTTTTTAAGAAGGGGTTTAATTACAACTACTTTAAAGGACTGTGGTACATATCCTGATAATAAAGAAAGATTAATCATATCCAGTAAAGAAGTGCCAATTAAAGGAACAACTTCTTTAAGCAGCCTATCGGGTCTAATAGACAGGTTGATGGCTTCGATGAAGAAATGATTGAAGTTAACTGATGAAGATCGATAGCAGAAAAACAGTCTAAATATATATCTAAGTTTACATTAGCAAAAGTCCCTGAACTTGGAGAGCCATTGATAGCTGTTGATGACAGTTGGTGATTAATTTTCTCTCTAATAGTAATCATTTTATTATAGAAGAAGCTCATGAAGTCGTTGCTACTTAAGTTTATGGGGATATGTGGCTCAATAGAGCTGTGGCTCTCTGTCAGCCTGGCTACAGTGCTGAAGAGGAACCTAGGGTTATTCTTATTTTCTTCTATTAGTGCTGAGTAATAGGCTCCTCTGGCATTACGGAGGGCCTTTCTATAAGTTTTATAGAATGCTTTTTTTTAGATGCTAAAGTGACATTCTATGAATATTGCAAATTAGATTCAACATTGTACAATGCACCTAAACAGTGAACTCAGTAACTGCAAGAAGTTTGTGTAAAATGAGTGATTTGGATGAATTTTCAGCAGATTATTTCTTGTTCAGGGAACTTTTTATGCAATTCTGTCTGTATTATGTTTTTCTTATCATTTTAAACAATCATACATACTTACTAGGCTTATTTTTTTGACAAATTCAGTGTTTTCTTGTCCCCGACGATCTAAATCTATTAGATAATTCCCTTTACATTTACTTTTCTTCACAGAAGTGAATCCAATCTGAGTTTCCTTACACTCCTTAAAATCAAGAAGGCTTCGTGACCCCCCTTTAAGCTTTGGTGGTCCAGACCCCAGGTAGGGAACCACTGAGCTAGAGCAGCAAAAATACACTACCAGCAACACAGAAGAACTCCACCGGAAATTAACTTGCGGACTGCAGCACGTCAGTGAGGGTCACGTCTTTTGGTCAGCAGACAGCAAAGTTTTATTAACTCTCTTGTTATACTGAATTGTGCAAAACTAGATATTGGAATGGGTCGAACCTATGTGATTTTTTTAGGAAAAATAATTTTGGCCAATTTAGACAACACTAGAAGAGTGTTTTTCTTACTGAACAAGTTTCTATATTTTTCTACTCAAAATAGGCTGTTCACAGCACTGACTGACATTTGACTGTAAAGTAAAACTAAGCCAAAAATCCTGCATGCTAGGGCTTAAAAGAAAAAAACAAATCAGTAAAGTAATAAGGTACTTTTGGGATAGCACAGAAATAATCTGCTTTGTGGTGAGAAACACATGGTGAGAAGCAAAGAAAAAAGAAAAACAGACAGATCACAGGCTTGAGATATCACGTATCTCCAGAGGAGGATGTAAAAAAGAAGTGTGTGTGAAGATACCGTGACTCATCACTGCAGCTTGCATGAATAATTCTCAACTTGGTGAACTACGTTTATAACACAGGATCTGATTTGATCTTTTCTGGATTAAAACACACAAACACTAAAATTCTCTGGTTCACATAGCACCCACGCCCTTCTTCACCTCCGGTGTCACCTCAAAGATCGCTACCAGCTTTTGAAAGCCGCAACAGTTTCACCCCACTCGCGACGCACCAAAACAATTCATATCGAGTCCCAGCACAAGTCTTTCACTACATGATCACATGCAGTGCTACGCCCTCCTGAGAAAGGAAATACATAAAAACAGCTGGTGAAGGAAAAAACACACAGCAAACGACAGCAGCCAAACGACCAAAAACCAAAAGTGATACCCCATAACCCACGGAACCATTCGCAACGGTTTCCTGGTGAAACACTTGGTTGGGTTTCTGTACCACATTACTAACGGTTGGTTCACCAATGTACCAACTAGGCAAATAGTTCACGTTCAAAGACTGTACACATTCACTGTAGTCCACATAGATTTACCAGTGCTACATTTTATTACAGCACCAAAGCAACTTAGAAATAAATACTGGAAAACTAGACTTGAGTGAAAAAGATCATCCTTGACCTTCAGATTAGTGCTCAGACAACTCAACTCATTTACAAGCTTGTAAGGTCTTAGTCAGATTTATTATTTTACATAGCCATTTGTTTTTAACCTCCCCTGTAAGTTGTAAAAGTCACTTGTGCATGTAAAACTATGAAAATCTCTAAAATATAAAAAAAAGTAATATCCCCCAAAGTGATAACTTAATTTTTTTTGTTCAATCAAAAGTAAAAAAGTAAAAAACCCTTTATACCCAATATACGGTTTGTATCAGAGAGCAGTGAAGAAACTAGAACAAGAAACTCTTTGAAAATTTTCTTAACAATTAATCGATGATCAAAAATAGTTGGGGATTCTTTTTTATCAAATCTTTTCTGTGCCATGAGGGGAAAACGTGCAAAAAATAAAGAAGCTATTTTAAGTCTTTAACACTGAAGTTTATTCTTGAGCTTAAAATGAGAATATGTGACAAATAATCTCAATTGAGGATCCACTATCTAGCCTCTTTGCACGACTTTAAATTAATCTGACACATTTCAGATATGTCACACTGCATTTAAGATTCAGAGAGGCCTTGAATAATCGAAGGCTTGCAGACACGGTGATGTTTATGTGTAATACTGAAGCACAGGTGG